ATAGAAGTTATCTCAGCTTGTTTGATCATTCGCAACTCTTTCAGGCAAGTTAGCTCTTACCCCATTTAGGTGAACCCTTGACCCAATACAACCCATCGGGCTTTCACTCCGACAGGCCCAAAAGGCGGAGGTACGGTGAAAATTGTACCACGTAGCATCAAACGCACCTCTCATATTATATTCAATCATTACTCAATTTGAATTCCAAAGTTTCTTGAAAATACCTGATGATTCTTCTTCTACTATTTCGTCGGCATTACCCATGATATATATATATATATACATACAAATAAATTTGTCAGTACTAATTGTGGAAGAATTGAAAGAGTTTATAATAGAGTGTATTCTTGACTTTAAGCACCTTACTAAAAAAAACATGTTTCTGTATATTTTAAAATTTTCCTATTTTACCCCCCACAGATAGGGTTATCTCTTTAAATTAAGTGCCACTTTTCAATCCCTATTTGTCTCCTCAGTGGGAGTATTGTTTTATCACTATTCAAATTTGGGAAACAATAAAATTAAGACAGTGGAATTAATCCTCATTTTAAATGTCTATAATAATTAGGGTTTGGAAATTCGTTTTTTTTTTTCCGATAACAGATACGATTAATAAAAAAAGCGCCACGTATATAATATTCGATTGTTTGTCGAAAAGCAAGTTCATGTGGAAATGATCAGAGGATGTAAAATTAATTATAACATGAATTATTGAAGAGATCAATTATTTATATATATATGATCTACGAAAACATGTTGTCTTGTAGTGGTAGATGCTAGGTCGTCTTTTACCTTATAGGTAAAGCAGTGACTTATGATAGAACCATATATCAAATGTAATAAGTCTTCATAATTTATTTGTTTTTTAGTTTTTGAAGGGCATTTTAGTAATTTTATATATATACATATATATATTTATTTTCTTTTTTTTGGTGACTCGGCCTAACCCGAACCTTCGTTGTGGGGCAATTGCACCCCATAACAAGCTAACTTGTTGGAAAGGAAGTTTTTAATTAATTAATGAAGGAAAAAATAAATAAAGGGTTAATAAATTGCATAATGTGAACAAGTTAGTTTTGTACATGTTGTCAGAATTGAGCCGGCTATGGAATCGGCCGACCAATCAAGTTAACTGGGTTTTTCACTTTCATTCGCATCATTCCATTTTTTACTATATATCTTTTGCTTTCCCTTTATATTCTCTCATTCTTTTTTCTCCGGATCCGACAATCCACCACTCCTATTCGACCACCGAATAAACCAACTCCGTCGGTGGTTTGAGTTGTTTTAGCCGAAAATTGGGTTCTTTGACCGGTCCGTCAGTTCCCGAATTTTACCGGGTCCACAGGGTTTTGGTCATTTGACCCTGATTTAAAAAAATTCAATTGTAGAGGTTAGACCGGACTGGCTCATCGTCTGGTCACAGTCGAACCAGTTCGACCAAGCGGTCCGGTTCGGTTCTGACAACATTGATGTATAGAAATTTGTTGTTTTGCACCCCTTTTTTCGTGTTAAATTTCTCCACTGATAATTTACCTTTTTGCCATCACATCCCTAGTAAAAAGGACGTATATAATATATATTGCTGGTTTTGAAGGTCAAAAGTAGAATGAATTTCACAAGTGGACTAATTTAGAAAATAAGATAAATAAAGTGAAATTGCCAAAGAAGATCAGACAGAAGGAAATAGGGAGGCTAATTAGCTATACTTTATGTTTTCAATTTTATTAAAAATTTTATTTGTTTTCATTATTACTAGATTTTAGTCATTATTGAAATGTGACAGCTGCACTTTGTCTAATTGCAATAAAGCATTTTTGTACTAAACACAAGTGACAAATAAATAAATTATGTTTAAAGTATTAAGACAGTGATTATAAAGACATTCTAATTAGGCCGACTAAAAAAAGAAAAAAGAAAAAGGCAATAAACCTTTGTCTTGCCTTGCTTAGTAATTTGGTTAACAACATTTAAGCACTTTATAATCTATGTACACATGTTTTTTGTGTTGTAGCCGAGGTTTAATTAAAAGGATCTCAAAAAGAATATATATTTATATATATATGGAAAAATTACAGTTTTCATCCCTTAAGTTTGGAACGATTTCACATTTGGTTCTTCATGTTTTAATAATTTGACATTTTGGTCATTTTCGTCAATTTACCGTTCAGTCAGCTACAAAGTGATGGACACATGTTTGATTCCATTAGTTTTAACGGAAATTTGAAGGAAATGACTAAAAATGTTGAATTTTTAAAACATGGGGGACCAAACATGTTTTTAGTGAACATGAGGGACCAAATGTGAAATTGATGCAAAATTGGGGGATGAAAATTGTATTTTTCCTCTTTGTTGGGGAAAAATACAGTTTTCATCCTTCAAGTTTGCACCAATTTCATATTTGGTCCCATTTGTTCACAAAAAACATATTTGGTCGCTTATGTTTCAAAAATTCATCAGTTTAGTCATTTCCGTCAATTTTTTGTTAAAACTAACGGAATCAAGCGTGTGCCCGTCACTTCCTTAACTAACGCACTAGCGGTAAATTGACGGAAATGACCAAAAGTGTTAAATTATTCAACCATGAGGGACTAAATATTTCTTTTGTGAACATGGGGACCAAATGTGAAATCAGTGCAAACTTGAGGGACGAATACTGTAATTTTCCCACTATAATTATTATTCTTATTCTTATTATTATTAATAAAAAAAATTGTCGCCCTAGGAATTTGAAAAAAAATATGTCTTTTCTTTTTAGGGTTAAAAGGAAAATTGAACCATTATATTTCTTCTTTTCTGCACTAGTAAAAAAATTGCCATGTACTACGAATTTTTTGGCTACGGTAAAAAGCCGTAAGAAATGGTATTTTTTACTACGAGACAATTTTGAAGTCGTAGTAAACAGTAAATACTAGGATTTACCGTAGCAAAAAAATATTTGGTACGTCCATTTACCGTAGCAAAATTTTTGTCATGTCCGTATATGCTACGGGTCGCTCTGATACCAATTGATACGATCTCTCGAGTATCATAAATATTTCCTACGAAACGTAAGATCTATTCTTTAATATTTTTCTCTTTTTTTATAAAACCCTAGCACAAGACGACTATTTAAAGATAATAAAACCCTAGAATCCTAATCTAACTAGGAAAGATAATGACCTAACTAATAAAATACTTAATATATATGATAACCCTAAACAGACGCAGGCTATATTCATTATAAATAAACTATTCTAATTAATTAATAATAAAATACTAACTAACTAATAATTAAATAATATATTAAATAATAAAATAATAACTAACGAATAAATATACGATATATTAAATATATATCGTATCACAAATGCGTAGCAAAAGCCTTTTTACTACGAATTTGATACGTTTTTGCTACGGTTAGTAAAAAGCCATTTTTCTACTAGTATTGGTAGGAATTGGGGTGAAAATCAAATTAATCTGATCGGAATTAGGGACGAAAAAAGAAATATCTGAATATTTCAGATCGAAATCGACGAAATTCAAAAATCCCGTTCCAATTTTCCACCCTAGGTAGGAACATCATTCTTGTCTATACATAGTTTACACACTATGACAATTTACCCCCTTTTTGTTTTTCTTATTCAAATGGTACATGGTTCCAGAAAACCAAAATTACATCAAGAGATAGGTGAAAATTCACAATAAATAAATAAATAAATACATCACAATAGAGTAGAGGACAAGTTGTAATGAGAATTTTTGTTGGTATTGAAAGAGTTATTTTAGTTGTGTATGAGTATAGATGCAAGCAAAATTGGTATTATATATATTAATATATAAAAATATATATTTAAATTTTGTCGACAGTGATAAATTTACAGTACATGACCCAATGATTTAACCATTTTTATCCTCATCACTGTCTTATTCTTACAAGGAAAGATTTCCTTTAAATCCGGTGAATTGTACATGTCGGTTTCTCTGTCTTTTGCTTATATAGATTTTTCGAATCCGCTTTTTTTTATTTTTTTATTTTTTTATTTTAATTTCTTTGCACAAAGACAAAAGAAAACCAACAAGGAGTTTTTTTGTTTGCATACCCCCACTTCCTATATATAATTTGACTCGAAATTTTATTTCTCTGAATTCATTCTGAACACGCAGTCAATTAATTACCATTTTATTAAATATGTGGTGCTCGAATTGCGTTCGAATTTTCTTTTTTTTCTTTCTAATTAAATAGATGTTGTTAAAAAATTGTGAATAATAATTGTCTTATAGTAAAAAAAAATAAAAAATTGAGTGTTTGCTCATGTGGTATAAAATCGACTTTATGCAGCTAATTTATAAATTTTAACGTTTGCAAATAAACTTTAACATTCAACTTATTTTATAACATATTTTAAATGTCCTAGTAAAACAAATATTTAAATAAAAACTAAAAAAATAACTTAAGCTGTTAAAGTAATAAACAAAAAGGAGAATACTTGTTCATTTTCCATGCAATTACTCCATCCGTTTCTTTTAAACTGCAGTTTGAACCATAATTTTATTTTTCATATTTAATGTCACTTTAGAATTTCAAGATAGGACAATATTTTTTGTTCAATTTTATCCTACAGTTAATGAAGTAATAAAGACAGATTCAAAATCACAAAAGGGTTAATTTTGTCAAATATGAATTATGTTCTCTAAAATCAAGAGTATATTTATTAACTTTATTATTTGGTGTGCAGTAAACTTAAACGATACTTATTTTGAAATTGAAAACAGAGGGAGTATTTTAATACATTTATGTCTCATTTGGTTCGGACAAACGTGTCATGATTAATTAAATAACCGGATATTCCCTCAGGTTTATTTCGTCCAGTAATTTTTCCAGGTCAAAGCCGGAAAAAAAAAATTGTAATAAAAAACAAAAAAGTGGAGAGGGATTGGAAAAGAAAAATGGTGCATTTTAAAATTATGATTATGATTAATTAATTAATTATTATATATCAAATTACATAACTAATTAAATAAGTAATTAAAAAATTAATCATATCTCTAATTAAATTAAATTAAATTAACCAACACGTACACTACTATGGTCGTTGGTATCGACAAACCCAACACGTGGCGCACACAGACGCACTGACGTCAGCGCCTTGTCGAAATGCTTCGCCTTCGTCCCGAGATACTCGCTCCAGGTTACGGGCCTGTACATTGGCGGGTTGTATTGATCCACCAGTTTCGAAAGCGGGCTTATCTTCACCCCCGGCGGCGGCCCGTATAGGTACGCCACCGACAGCCTGTGCCGGGTCCGGTTCACCACGGCCCGGTGTAGCACACTCGGGTACGACCCGTTCGATAGTATGTGCATGAGGTCTCCCACGTGGACCACCAGCGCACCCGGGTGAGGCTCCACCGTAACCCACCTGTTGCCGCCCTCACGCAGCACCTGCAGCCCGCTTATGTTGCTCTGGTGGAGCACGGTGAGGATAGTGGAGTCTGTGTGCGCAGCCAGACCCATCGCCCGATCCGGATCCGGGCAGGCCGGGTACGAATTCATCTGCAGGGCAGCCGCGCACCCGGATCCGGATTCGGATTCTTCTTTCGGGTCGGCCCATTTGACTTCTTCTTCTTCTTTTGTTATGCCTAATGAGCCCAGCATGAGCCACATCAGCCGGCCCGCTAGCTTCTTCATTTCTTTCTCGTAGTCTTCTATTGTCTGGCTGTAGAGAGAGAAAGGAAACAAAAAATGAGAATCAAGAAATTTTCTCTCTCACACAGTGTAAAGTGTAATGTGTGTGATTGTATTGCTGATTAATTTGCTAATATTGTATGAAAGGAAAGAAGAAAAAAAAAATTACCAGAATTTATTATAATCATCGGGCCAAATTTTGCGGGCGTTTTCGAGGGGCGAACCGACAATGGTGAACCCTTCGGACCACATGCGCTTGGAGAAGAAGGAGGAGATTCGGGCCACGCCGTAGCCCGAAACCCCGTCGGCTGCCCGAGCTGCCCGGAGTTTCTGGTGCATGGGGAGGGAGAAGAGGCTACTCCCCGCGGCCTCGATTTCCTCGAGCAAGTTATTGGGAATACCGTGGTTAACGACTTGGAACACACCCCATGTCTTGCATGCATGGCCTATGAGCTCGGTGGCGTTTCCGCTATTTAGGTCGACGATAGGGACGGTTTCGGAACTACCGTCGGCGGCCCCGCCGCCGGAGAAGGGGTAGTCGTTGTTCTGCGATGTCCATGCATGGCTTTCCGGCAACTCCTTGACGGAGCTTAGGTCTAGAAACTTATGGTGGTTGGTTGGATTCGCTCGAAATGAATCGGAGGGTACGACTCTTGACGGCATGTTTTTTTTTTTTTTTTTTCGCTTTTTTTTCTTTATATATATGGGGAGAAAGGAAGTATGTGTGGGAACTTTAGGTTTATTTAGTCCTCGTACTAGTAATAGAAGTAGTAGTAGGGGTATGTTTTATGTAATAAGGAAAATCTTTGTGTTGTAAGAAAATGAAGGTGTGTCTATTGTGTTTATATAGAAATGAAGGGGATGGTGACCACTCACTAAGGTATTGGGTTTTTTTTTCTTTTTCTTTTTCTTTTTTATTTAATTTATTAATTTAGTGTGTGTTTGTGTGTTTTCTTTCCTCAATTTTTTTTTTTTTTTTTTTTTTTTTTAAGTTTTTGTCCTTTGGGTTTAGTGGAGTGAGGTTTATTGGGGACGAAGAAATTAAATGGAAGTTATGTATTTTAGGAGTTTGGACAATCGAAAATACAAGAATAAGGAAATGACCATATTGCCCTCCACATAGATGAAGAAAAGACCCTAACTTTCTCCATGTGCCCCTTGTCTTTGTCCTCAAGTAGAAAAACATCTCAATCGAAGGTCTTCCCTACTTTGGTCCTAATCCTCCTCACTATAAGACAACACTAAATAAATCCTTTTTATTTTATTTTTTTATGGAAAGTCTAATTTGCCCTTGCCCTTTCGGTTGTTGATGAACCTACCTCTTGAATTTAGAACAATATATATGGCTACGATTACGTGACTCGCTCACAACCTTATGTTGAAACATGCATGTAAATTTATCAAATAAGGACTCGTTCATTAATCTATATCAGATTAGATTGGATTTGACGACGCTGAATTAAATCTCTGCTGGCTAGTTAGTTATTTAGTTAGTAAGACATTCGGTTCATCGTATCATATCTTGTAATAAACTAGCTGTTAAACTCTGGTATTATATATGTGATTTGCCAATAAAATATTTTATTTAATAAAATTAACATGTAGTTTGGAGAATAAAATATTTTTTACTTATTTAGTCACCCCATATTAAATTAATCTCAAGGGAGGGCGGTACTAAATTAATGTAATAGTAGCATTTAATAGCGGACTTTGATTGCAGTAGCTCGTTTAAAGAAACGTAAATCTTGCCAACCGAACATATGTTAAATACTAGTTCCTACTATATAGTCAATAAAACCTTATACCTAGTAGCGGAGTCAGGAATTTGAGACAGGGTGGACTTAATATTTACGCGGCACAAAATTTTAATTCATTCGTACAAAGTAGCACAAAATTTATAAACTCTAACTAAGAACACATATTTTTTGATGGGTGGGCTAACTTAAATTACTTGGGTGGGCTAAATTAAATTATTTTGATGGACTAATTACATATAGCTATAGTATTTAGAAGAAATGTTTTTGAACCCACAGTGGGCTGGAGCCCATCTTTGCCAAAGGGTGGCTTCGCCACTGCTTATACTGATAACCATTTTTTTCAGGGTAAATTACAAACACCCCCCTGAGGTATGGTCAATTTACAAAAAAAAAAACTCTCTTGTTTGGATAATTACATCTACCCTCCTCAACTATGTTTTTTTCTTACACTTCCACCCTTATGATGTAAAATTCAACATAATCATCTAGATTTCGTGAAATGTGCTCTAGTTTGTACTCGTTTTGTGTAAAAATACAGTTTCTGATGCACCACAATCTGATATATACAAGCCAAAAAACACATATTATGATCATCTTGCTTCAAATGTAGAGTTCGAATGGGATAAAATGGGTACAAAAGTGATAATATTCCATATAATCTCGAAGATCCACTAAATTTGAGGAGTTAATGGGGTGGTTGTAATTATCCAAACATGGGTGGTTGTAATTTACCCTTTTTTTCAAGAACGTAACACATATGGAAGGGCATTGTTGTCATTTAGACACAAAATAAGTTCCAAGGCTAAAGGTTTCTTCAATTTTATTTATTTTGATTTCCATGATATTTGTGTTTGTTATTTAGCTAAATTAGGTGATAAATAGCAAAGTCACTTTCGATTTGTGCGGTTAGATTTGAGGGTTTTGTCTCCATAGAAGCAAGTGGGCACACCCCTAATCATCAACTTTCATTAACCCGATTCGGATATTAAATACCCATCACGTATTCGGATCTTCATTCGGATCTTAATCGGATTTGGGGAAAATATGAATCCATTACCCACTACACATTGCCTCTTCTACTTATCTCCACACATACAAAATAAGATAAGATTTTTATTTATTTATTTATCTATTTTGGAATTTCCTTATCGCCAAAATTCTTTTTTGTTTGTTTTCACTTTTTTTTTTTTTTTTTATCTAGTTATTAATAATACTAATAATTTAATTATGTGGTGGTAATGGTAACCACATACAAATGTAATAGAATGGAAACAAATTAGAACCTCATGTAAACATTTTGGCATGCCAAGCACATACCATACATGGACATGTGCTAATAAGTACACATACACATGCATAATTTTTATCATTATGTATGCATATGCCCTTCACGTGGCACTAACATGTTTTTTATTAATGTTATTATTTTTATTTTTTATTTATTTTAGTTTAATTAGTGAGTTCTTTTAGTATCTTTAACTTTATTTGATTCTGCATTTGGATCGAATTCGGATTGTCAAAACAGCGTAATCTCTTCACTCCACCAACTAAACTGTACGAAAACAATTCGATTTTTTAACGAAGGAATATAATCTGTAGCCAACTAAAGAGGTGGATTGTATAAGCCGATCAATACGCTCGTATAATATCTTAATCATACAAGATTAATCATACAAGAGATGTAAACCACACTAGACGAATCATATGTGATAAGCTCGATCTAGCGACCGACAAGCTCACTTGCTCCAACCGATATCGGCTGTCCCTTTTCTTGGAAAAAGTCAAGAACCTATTTTAGTGTGACCTAAAATATTTAAATTTCAATGGCATTGGAAACGAAAATGATATACACATGTGAATGATGATGATCTATGAGAATTCTTTTGGAAATTATAGTGTGGAAAAATTATGACCTAATTTGACCGTTATTTCAGGTAAAGTATTGGGTGGGGCCCAACAATTATCTAAATTTAGAAATCTTCACTATTTCCAACTTTTAAAACATAATAAATAATAATTAAAAATAAATAAATTAGTGCCATTGTTATTTTTTCTGTCGCGATAGTGTGGAACCACAATTGTCAATTCAAATTCTTATTAGGTTTTTTGCAATAATTCATTCGAAAAACAAATTATCATAGAAAGAAATGAACAGACCAAGAAAATATTTAATCATAATATTAAAATTAATGAAAAAAAATATAACTTGGATTTCATGCAAGTTTCAAAATAGAATTATATTAGTTACTAATTGTTTATATAGGTCTACTTGAAAGTAATAAAAAAATTCGAAAATTATGTGATTGGTCAATGGTTGTCGGCAGAACCCAGAGATGAAGAAAAGAGAAGGTAATTTGCTCGATGTGGATTAACAGTACTAAACACTAATATAATTTTATTATTAACTAAAATGATTATTTTTTTGAATTATCGCGTACCATTAGTAAAGTCATTAAATTATTTGATTTTTATACAATTTTTATCAATTATTTAGTTGATGATATAAATGTTCGTAATATTTGATATTATTTTGTTCGAATTTGATACTAAATGTAACATTTTTTTAAGTAAATGTTTTATTGATGTAGTGAAAATTTGCAAACACGAAAAGTATATATGCAGACATATTTCGGCATTCCGAATCATTTAATTGTGAGCTTTAACTTTTGCTAATGATATCAATTATCTGAACATCATACTAATTCTTACTATTTAGTCGATATAAATTGAGAGTCGTAATCGAACGAGGCCTAATTGCAATTGGCCGAATCAGTTAATTTTGGGCTTTATCATTAATGAATCAAAGTAAGAGGGCTCCTCATTAATTAATTTTAATGACTGATTTTTTCAGTGTAATTAATAATATCAGTGTAAGAAAGAGTATCAAAAAAAATGTCGGCATATAAAAGAAAATTTGTTTTTCTCAAAAAAGAGGGTTGCTGTGGGTTGGTCGTTGAATACGGTTGGTAGGTATTGGAAAGTAATGGGAAAAATTACAATTTGGGCATGTGAGTTTGCCATAATTCAAATTTAGTCCTTTCAGTTTGTACATTATGATTTTCATGCACTATATTTTAAACTTTTTTTTTACATTCCAAAAGGAACTTATAAGATGTTTAAGAGTTTATAAGCTCTTTCAAAGTGTTTGGTATTTAAAAAAAAACATCTTACGAATTCTAGCGTAAGAATAACTTATGAGCTCATTATTCGAACACTTTAAACATTTATTATAAAAATAAGACGTAACAACTTATCAACTATTAAGACAACTTATCAAACGTAAGGGTTTATCAGCTGTTTGAAATAAGTTAAGACAAACAAGCCCTGATTATGTCCAATTTCGTGGGCTAAGAATTCGAGATTTTTTTTCAATTTAGAGGAAATTTTTGAAATTTTGGACATCACAATAATATACATATAAAATTAAAATAATATACCGTATGCTGGATCCGCCACTGCTGTTATATGATCGAGCAAAATCGAATAAAAACAATTTATGATACATCATAGCCAATGTGTCATCTCAAATCATCCTAGTATTAGAAAATAGCTAAATCGACAAATATAGGACATACCTAAAATCTTGATGTAATGTAACAAAACAAAATTAGAAAAATTTCTGATTTTAGAACACTTTGATGAGTAGTCAACAATTTAATTTCCTTCAAGTTTATATGGTTCACTTTTGGCTAGCTAGTCAATTATATTTCAATGAAAAATCCTGTAACACGTTGAAAATATTAAGGTGGTGTTGTCATATATTAATTCTAGAATATTTAATTTCATTTGTCGCCCTTCTACTAATTAATTTTTCCATATGCCTCCCTTCAAGTTTCATTTGTAACATGTACCCCTCAAACATCATTTGATTCGTATTTTAAATTTTAATAACCCATAAAACTTGTTTTCTATTATGGATGGAATGTAATAATTGACAAATAATTCAGTTATCTTATTAAAATATATGTAAATTAATATTTTAAAATTAAAAAAAAAATATTGTCGTGCACTGGTAACATAAATATATTAAAATAAAAAATCTAAAATACTAAAATAGGATATATATATATATATATATATATATATATATATATATATATATATATATATATATATATATATATGTGTGTGT